TGGCTATTGGCTGCTGCAAATAGAACCCCGTAGTTCTGAGTTTTCATGCCACAGTGCAGATAGAACCTTGAAATTTTGCTATTTGTGGCGAATCTATTTAGAAATTTTACAAAATAAGTTGTTAGAAAATTAAGTCATGGTATATAGAACCATGTCACACTCTTAACGCATTTTCGACGAAAATGTCAGCTAGAACCCTGTAATTCTGAGGTAGCGATTTATCAAATACTGTAGTTCAGTTCTGCTTCTTGTTCTTCTCTGTGATTTTTTTCCTCCCAATAAACGTTTGCAGTCGTCAAAGCAGAGATGCATCTTGAAAGTCAGCAGTTTTTTGTGAGTGCAAATTTCATTAAGATCCATGCCAGTGGGATTCCAGGACTTGTGTCCATGTACCCCTATTAATTATACATCTGCAACGTGCAGTTAATTAACTTTTTCATGTGTGCTGTTTCAAGAGAATACTTTTGAAGCTGCTGCTTATATATAGCCCCCGACAATAGTGCTTCATTATTCCCCACTGCAGATTCAATGGGTCTGTCAGGTTGCTTTTACAGAATATGGCCAACCTGTAGCCCTTTGATTAAAAGATGTGTGCTTGTAATGTATACCTGGGATAGTGAAAATACCAGTCTCAAAGTATCAGCAATTCATACCTTCGGACCAACAATCTTAGTGATGGTGTTGATGGCGCTGGTAAAGTATCCTTTTTACACCATGAAAAGGAGGTGTTAGATTTCCACAGACATGATGGTGATTGCCCCCCCCCCTATAATGTTCTTTGTGAACGATTAACTGTAAGGAACAGCCATTCATGGATAACATCCAATTTTTGTCAAAGTTATGGGATCGCTCTTCTCTTAATAATGTATGAATGGAGAAGACATATATGAAACGTTTGTCTCACCAGTAGTATATTTTTGTAATTCATTCTCTGGACCGGTTACATAGAAATGTGAGGCTGATTATTGCACAAGGAGAGGAGCTTTGAAAGTTTGCAAACAACAACAACACCAACCCACATCTTCATAGTACAGTAGCATTAGCTGTTATTCAGCTGTATGGGACAGGAAACATGATTTTACAGTGTAGGTTTCCCAACAATATGGGGAAAATTTAGGTTCCAAATAGAAATTGTTTAGACCTTTGCTGGATATGTTTCTTTTTACCAACCTGTGGCAAAAGTGAAAAGGAATGGGAGAAGAAGGGTTGCTATTGGTTGAAGAACAATGGACTTCCCTTGCTTTGGTGATTGTTGTACAGTTTGCAAAACTATTATAAGTTTTTAGATTATTTTTTTGTCCATAATTAATATTGAAGCTAGGTGCTCAGTAATATAGAATGGCGTATTCTACATACATGTGTATCTGTCTGCACACCCACAACTCAAACATCATGTATTGCATAAGTCATCTTTCAAAATTAATTATATGTTAATTTTAACATACAATTAATTAATTTAATTAGATTTGGGCAAACATATCTTTTTAAAAAACACTTCTGAGAATAATTCTTTTGAAAATAAGCGATAAATTGAATATATAACAAGATCTCAAAATGTGGCATAAGAATAGGAAAAATGGATTCTCAATGTTCTTCTCCTGTGCAACTGTGCAGCAGTCATCCCAGCGCATCCATTTCGCAGGTTGTCTCAGTAATCATTTGACATCCAAGTATCATTTCCAGTGATGAACAGATAAGAAATCACTGAAATGCAAAGCCATAAACAGTCCTGTAAAATGTTAAGTGTAAGTTTTAGACCTTTAATCACCTTCTCCTCTCCCCTGTCACTTTGCTGATTTCTGACATATTTAATTATCTGTTTTGCTTTTTAATTAATAAGGAAAAAAAGAGCAAAACCCAAATATAATGGGGATGGCAATATACTGAACACATAAAAGTGTTTTAACAAAAGAATGAAAGATGACTAAGAACAAAGAAAATATGTGTCATTCTAATAATAGTTACAATTCTATATATACTTGTCTAACAAAAATATTATTCAAGTATGTATATATTTCTAATACATAACATAAATATATTTGTTTTTAACCTACTGTATTCTGTATTCATTATATCTATGTATACAAAGTCTAGGGATATCGTCAATCCGCTTGGAAGAGGCAAGTTCTATCAGGTCTTTTAATAAGTGGGGCCATGGTGTGTATCTTTCCAATGGTGCAATATCCGTCTTTTGCCCATAATAAAGGCAGGGAGAATCCATTTACTATGTCCAATTGTGTAATTTAATGTGCCAGGTATATAATTCAAGGGAATATTATCCTCTGAAAGTTTTACCTTTTGTCTCACATTTATATTTACATATTCCACTGTTTTCTCCCAAAATGTGATAAGTATGAGACATTGTAGAGACATGTTTTTTAAAAAGGGTTATTCCTATTGCCTCTCCAACAAAATGCTGTTTCTGACAGTCCTTTTTTTTAATAAAAACATAATTGAGTCCAATGAATTCTAATTCTAAATATTTTTTGTTGCTGTATAAATTATAATTTGAGGTCCATCGGCACGCTTGCTATACAAATTAAGACATTCCCCCTTTTCTAGACAATATCCAAACCTCTAATTCTTTATTCCACTCTTTTCTTAATATCTGATGTATAAGTAACAATTATCTAGAAAAATTCAGCAGGTTTTCTTAGTTTTAAAGACTAGTTTCTGGAATATAAAAATGTGGTCCATACTATCCCTGCAAATGTTTAAACTACTTTAAGCTAGATATCCTGTGTGTGACACAACAAGTAGAATCCACTGGGCTAAAACAAATCTAGGAACCTATTAAGGATCCAGTGGATCAGAGTTAGGAGGAAAGCTGTTAATGACTTTGGTAGAGTTTTGCCCATCCTTCTCTCTACACTGGGACAGTTATATTTTGTAGGTAGTTGTTGTTTTTTTTAAGTCAGCACAAAACATGAATATCTGGTAAACACTGAACTTGACAGGTTAGTGACAGAAACACCTGGATGTTCCATAAAAAATAGATCTGCAGAGAATAGGGATTTTACTCAATACAGCCAGGATTTTTACATTATTTTCTGAGGGGATGAAACAGTATACAGTGAGATTTGATCATATGCTTTCGCCTTGATTCCTTTGCAACTTGAGAAAATAATTTCTTTTCTCAAGCTTTTTCCAATATTGTTTAAGATGAGCTGATCTCTGATTTTCTTTCTTGAATACAGTTTGAAAAGCCTGCACACTTAATTGAATTCATAACCAGAGCAAGAATAATGTTTTTTTCCCCTAGATTGTGCCTTGGTTATACAAATATATTGGTTGTTTCCTAGCTTCAGATCTAAATTAATATTTACCCTTCATCTTCAGTTCTAGGTAAGATTCGAAGTGCTGTAGGAAGTGCACAGTTGCTAATGTCACAAAAATTCCAGCAATTCTATTGGCTTTGTCAACAGAATTTGGTAAGTTCACATTTTTAAACATTGCATAGTATAACTGAAGTTAGTTATTATTTTTCTTCAGACTTTAAATGCTACTATTTTATTATTCATCTGGAGATTAATTTCCATCAGAGGACATTTAATTCCACATCTGCTAAGCAGACAATTGCACACATAACTTGTGCATAGAAGCTTCATTATTTGTTTATCTTGCTGTGCAATAACTATTGCCAGAGCTTTAAAGAGGAAGGCTCCAATTTTTCCAATGAGCATTTCAAAATCATCTGGGAATTCATTGCAACTCAGCATGATCTGCATTAATGTCTTGGTCTGGGCATATAGTGAGAAGGATTGCAATAAGATTGCATTGAAATAATGTTTGGTATCTTTTTTATATTTGATAATATACATTTTTATATTAGAAATCACCTTGTGAGGGCACGACTTAGAAACTGATCTTAAAAAAGCACTCCATTATTTTATAAATACTGTGTTTGAAAATGTGTTCTGTCAAAATAAAAGGAATCAGGAATTTCACCCTGAATGGTGGAGCATGAATCTTCAGTACATTGAATAAATCATAATTTCTCCAAAACCGTTTAAGGACTCAGGGGGCATCAAATATTATTTTATAAAGCTCTATCCATTTTTGTCTTGCAATACAGTCAACCCAAAACAGATTGTTTTGGTCTATAAAATATTAAAAATAGTAATCTATCTTATTCATCTATCCATCCTGCAATAGATTCCCCATTATTTCCAGCGCAAAGACTATACTGGGGAATATACTGGACCAAGGGGATTTTGAAAGTTATTGTTCAAAGGAGAGGAACAAGAATTCCCATTCCTTGACCAAAAGGCTCCTTGTATATAAAGTCTGCTTTTGCCTACCTTTGAAACTCTGGAAATCCATTGCTATTGTTTTAAACTTTAGTCAGAGGCAATAACTTTGTAGTTAAAAACTGTAAGCAAAGAATGAGATCTCAAGGGATATTAGCAGGTGGGCACATCTACAATAATTTTATTGTATGTTTATTGTATTGTAATTTTATATTGTATTATGTTGTTGATGATATCACTAATTATTTTAATAACCAAAATCATTTTGGAAATGAGAACTAGTTGTGCATTCTCTTGGCTTCAATCAGTAACTTTATTCCCCCGGCATAAATACCAAATTCCCATGGACTGTGATAATCAGGAGCCAATACTGCTAATTTAAAAAGCTGACAAACTACAAGAATTAATCAAATGTTCTACCGTCCAAACTAAATGCCCACAATACGTTTTACAATTAGCTTTGTTTCACTGCTAAATTAGATATGAGGAAGGCTTCTGCTGGTCAATATTGCCAGCAAAGAACAACATTACTTTCTCATTGGGTTTTTTTTTTTTTCCTAGAACTAAATAAAATTTTGAGGGGGCATTAGAGGATGTGACCTACAAGTCTGTCTTATTTAAAATCAATCATTCAGTAATATTTGCAATTTAACCTTTACCAGCATGAGAAAGCTTTTTTTTTTCTGTCTATGTCTATTTGAAATTTGCTATCCAGAAAGATTAAACCAAACCAAGGTTTCAAGGAAACATAGATATGTGAAATGCAACTGGACATCGTCTTTAGTTACAATTGCTGGATTTTGATTCCTAGAATTAACATTATGGGCTCCTGTGACAGGTTGTCCTTGTCCTTGTGTCTCCTTCTCCCCATCCTTCTTCTCTCCCACACCTGTCAGGGGTGGGGAGAAGTAACGGCAGTAGCACTTCTATGCCTCTCCACATTGCTTTCCAGCCCTCTCTAAGCAGTTTACAGAGTCAGCCCATTGCCCCCAACAACCTGGGTCCACAAGTGATGATATGTGCGTCATAACGGCAGGACATAAGCCCTGGCTCCGAAGTCAGGATACAAGGACAGTTGGGCGGCTTTAGGGCAGGTTGAAATCATACCTGGTTTCACTTTTTCCTCATTACAGCTCCTTGTAGCTGCTAAGCCTTCGGGTATCCCAGGGAGTTCCTCCACATCCACTGAGAGTATCAAAATATCCGGCCCATACAATTAGAGGCACTTTTTATGAAAGCAAAGCTTTCATAACTGGATTTAACCCTTTCTTTTTGCTTCTCCACATTTTTTCTGTGCACATTCTTCACTACTGACCTAAAAAGACCAGTGGAAACTGTAAGTTTTCCACACACATTAGAATTGTAAAGTGCTTTGAACCACAGGCCTACCAACACTGGCAGGGCATAGTACTGCATACAAAAAGGGAGTGAATCCCACACTCAGTAGCACTGATAAAGTTCTCTGGTTGGGTGATGAAATGTCTGCAAGCTTGTCCAGTGTTGTTAATTCACATAGTAGTAGTAGTAGAAGTAGTAGTAGTAACCCAACTCACTGAGTTGACTCTGAGCCAATTACTCTTTTTCAGTTCAACAGACCTCACAAGACTCTTGGTCTTCCGAACAAAAATAGTGGCGGAAGCCATGTGAAGGCTGCCTTGAGCTCCTAAATAAAAGGAATAGGATTAGCATTTAAAAACAACAACAGAAAGGGTGGAAATGCACAAGGGGATCATTTGGGATAATGAGATGTGGTTGTGAGATGTGCTATCTCCCCCAGTGGCACAGTGGTTAAAGTTCAGTATTGCAGGCAAACTATGCCAACAGCCTGAGGTTCGATCTCGACGGGCTCGAGGTTGACTTGGCCTTACATCCTTCCGAGGTCAGTAAAATGAGGACCTAGATTGTTGGGAGCAATATGCTGACGCTGCAACCCGCCCAAAAGATGCTGTGTATAAGTCTAAATGCTACTGTTGTTGCTAAATGCTACTGCTATCTAAGGCTGGTAATAGCCAAGAGGAGCCTCAGATGGTGAATGTGAAGATACATCATGATCACACATACATGCATTTACCTTTAAAACACAGAAAAGGCCCAGGGCTGCCACAGACCTGCGTCAACTACTATTCAGAAGTCCAAGGAGTTAAGGAAAATGTAAATGATAGAAGTTATTCGTCCAGATTGTTATAGACAGTCAACATAAACATTTCAACTCCTTTTAGGTAGATGATGAATCATTCTTGAATAAGCTGAGGCTCACATGTTTCATTTAACCATAATTCCCTTGAAACGAGGCCTTTGGAAAAAGAAACACAGAACCCAACTTTTTTGAACTTGTCCAAAGGAGGAGAGTGTGGGACACAGTCCAAGTTGTAGAGGCTTAATACAATTTGCCTGTGGATTCATATGAAGGGTGTTCTATAAATCTCTAGGCAATTCCAAACGTGGTATCTTTAGCCCATTTAATAGAATTATAGAACATATTATCCTGAGTTGCATTCATAGAACAAGACCAAAAAAATAATAATAAATGTCGCTAATAAATTTAATAAATAAATAAAGGAATCCCAGCCAACCAAAACTGATCAAAACCGATTTGTATATTAAACAGCAGCACTGTATATTAAATGCCTGTTCTGAATCTGGGGGAGGTTCTAAAAGAATCCAGAGCAAATTAAGGGGGGGGGAAAGCCCCCCCAAACCCCCAAATGCAGACCAATGGCCAAGCTTTGCTCTTTAAGAAATCAAAAACTGGCATAACCTAACGCTTGCATTTATTACCATCCGCTAATGTCAATGCTAAGTTAATGATAAATTGCCGAACCTCCTTCCATTCACAAATTTGTAATGCTAGCACAGATACACTGTATGTTCACACGCAAATGCATATCTGACACACCTCTGAAGCGTGTCTCCCTCCCTGATGACCTCTAGGCATGTGCAAATCCCATTATTTCAGTTAGAGTGACAAGTGATGTCTTTGAAACCCATCATGCCTTGAGGTTGCTGGCTAGGGAAAGAAGGACTAAGTACCTTTTATATCACATTTTGACGAAGCAAGATTTTTCTACACGCTACTAGAGATTAATGCTGCCATTGTAATGAGATCCGGGCTCAAAGCACTGTGTAAGTCAATACAGATGTGCTAACACAGTGTTTCTCAACCTTGGCGACTTTAAGTCCTGCGGACTTCAACTCCCAGAATCCCCCAGCCAGCGCTGGCTGGGGGATTCTGGGAGTTGAA